AGGAGTCATCTTCAGCTAAGACGGATTCATTTTTCTAACATTATCTTTTTTTATATTTAATAATGAGAATAGTAGGACTACGGGACACAAATATAAATTTTGGCAAAGTAGGAGTCATCTTCAGCTAAGACGGTTTCATTTTTCTAACAGGGTGGTTGACCTCAGATGTTGTAGAGGCAGTAAATATAAGTGAGTTGAAGAAAAAGCTTGATAAATATACAAATGAAAAAGGTTGGGTTTAAAATTTTATTCTTCTTCTTTAATCATTTTAATTTAGTTTTGAGGATGGAACAACCGAGATAGACCAATAGGTCCCATGTTGTCCCAAAATATTATGTTGTGTTATTATGTTTAGAATGTGTGTATATTTCTCATCCAGTTAAACCCATAATATTTCATCTCTCACTTTCTTTGTGTTTAAATCTTATAACATGTTGCAAATAACATACATTTAGGTAAAAATGAAATATATAATGTTTTGTCACTACAGTGTCCTACAGTTACAAATTTACCTCATTATTTTTAGGCCAAGCAGTCATACTAAGTTGATATAGTGAGTTATTCCAATGTTTATTGAACAGTCTGTATGACTCTTCCAGTTGTCTGCTACATTTGCAGCCAGCCTAGTCATTAGCCCTGCTTTAGGATCTTTCCTCTCACAGACTTACAGTGATAACCTAGTGGCAGTGCTGGCATCAGCCATAGTACTGATGGATATCATCTTTATTCTAGTAGCAGTACCAGAATCCCTACCAGCCAAACTTCGACCTGGGTCCTGTGATGCTAAAATTTCATGGGAGCAAACTGATCCTTTTTCTGTAAAATATTTTTTGTATTCAACTAAAACTCAAAATATATCTGTCAAAAATTAGTGTTAGAATAAATGTATCTGTATTTTGAATTATTTTTATGATTGATCTTTTTGGATCAAATTTAGTAAGGCTTTTTAGAAATTAGTTTTTATCTGTTGTGCATGGTTCTTCAAATATTTTAAAATATTTTGTTAACATATTACTTATGATATCATTATTTTCGTGAAATATTAAATTTTGTTTAAGTTTAGAATTTCTTTAAGTTTAGGCAACCTGTATTAAGTTCCTAAGGTAATGTTGTGTCGCAACTATATCTCAGTCATTGTCATGAATAGTGGAATCCAATTATTAGCTTTTTTATGCAGCTGCCATCTTCATAAATGACTATTTCTGTATTGGTAAAAGCTAGAATTCAATCCTGGATCTTATTTGATTAACTATTGACTCCACCATTTAGAACTTAAATCAACTAACTATTTAAATGTTTTCAAAGGGATACCTAGGTTTTGTTGAATTCTGTACTAGGTTGCCTGAGTGTGTTATCAGTTAGGTGAATGTACAATGCTTTTTTTATTTTTACCCCTTTTTTTCTTGTGGGGTTCATTTACTATTATTAATTTATTTTTATCATATAGTCTTCTTCATTGGCTTGATGGGCTGTTACAGAAGGATCATTGTTACTGAGTATTATATGTCTATTATATTCCTGAATTCTAACTTTTAGTGGTCTTTTTGTTTCTTCATAGTATTGGAATCCACATTCCAAAAGGATGTTGTAAATGATGTTCTTCACTGAGACTTTAATGTGGTGTCTGCTAACTGCAGTGTTATTGTGTTGTGACTTAATAATTTTCTGATTGTATGGTGTTTACCTGTCTTCTGTTTAAGTATCGGAACCGATATTTCAAAGGGATGTTGTAATTGATGTTCCTCACTGAGACTTTAACGTGGTGTCTAGTAACTGCAGTGTTATTGTGTTGTGACTTAATAATGTTCTGATTGTATGGTGTTTACCTGTCTTCTGTTTAAGTATCGGAACCGATATTTCAAAGGGATGTTGTAATTGATGTTCTCACTGAGACTTTAACGTGGTGTCTACTAACTGCAGTGTTATTGTGTTGTGACTTAATAATGTTCTGATTGTATGGTGTTTACCTGTCTTCTGTTTAAATATCGGAACCGATATTTCAAAGGGATGTTGTAATTGATGTTCCTCACTGAGACTTTAACGTGGTGTCTGCTAACTGCAGTGTTATTGTGTTGTGACTTAATAATGTTCTGATTGTATGGTGTTTACCTGTCTTCTGTTTAAGTATCGGAACCGATATTTCAAAGGGATGTTGTAATTGATGTTCCTCGCTGAGACTTTAACGTGGTGTCTAGTAACTGCAGTGTTATTGTGTTGTGACTTAACACTGTTCTCAATTTATAATGTTTACCTATCTTCTGCATATTTTCAGAGATATCTCTGGCATAAGGCTGTATGTCTGTATAATTTATTCTCTGTGAATGTGGATCCCAAATACATTGAAGAAAAATAAAGAAGTTATAATTCAGTAGCAAAATAGACATACAAGACTAAATTATGCTGATCTATCTGCAATAATTTACTATGCTAGAGAAGAAGGCATTACAATAAAATGGAATAACACTAAAAGAATGCAGTATTAATCACATTGAGAAAATGAGAGGGCACACCCCATGGGTGCTATTCAGATGCTTTTAAAGGGTGCTCATCTTGGTAATTTTACACTGGTCCCTCCACCTGATCAGTGTGGGATTCTAGCTGTAGCTTTGAGAGGAGGTAAGTAATCGTATTGGAAGTTAATATTTTTCTACACTGAAAATATATTTCCATTATATACTTACCTCCTGTCACATTTTCACCTGTCCTCCCCACTTTAGTGTCATTTTTTTGTGCCTAATCTCAGGGTGAAGATTGTGTTCAACTGAATAGAGGGAGTCACTGTGATAGGAAGGTTTATCACACTTCTATTGGTGGAGGACTGTTGCATGCATAAACACAGATGAACCACATGGTATACATGTGGAATTAGATGGGAGTTTTAAGGCTAGTGACCAGCGAAAATTTGTGCACTAAAGGACAGTCAAATTAAGAGGAGGTAACTGTCTATCGGAAATATATTGTCAATGTTGGAAAATATTAGTTCCAAAACATACATACCTCCACTTCCACATATAGCTATTATTTGACTGCCAGGTTTTCTTCCTTTGCCCATCTAAGCATTGGTCTCATTTTTTGTCACTTGGTGCAGTCTTTTATACCTCACTCAGTTGCCCTTGGTGATATTTATCTCATGATACTCTCCACCTAAGTCAATGCGCCCTGTATCCTGGTACTGTATATAAGCACCTCATTCAGATAATGTTATCACTTTTTCTCGACAAAGCATCATTAATTGGTTTCCCATTATTACAGTCGATTGGAGATACTTTGAACGTTAACTGTGTTATCTAGTTGATTTTTGTAATAATACTAATTTAAAAATTTTTCCCTCCGATTGGGAAGCCGATTTACGGTATGAATTCACGGATTATTATTTCCAGCACAGAGGCAAATTAGGTCTCTCCTATCCCACCTCTGATATCTAGTGTTGCACAATAATTGGAAGTGGAATCACTCTCGGTTGAGACTCAGTGATCTTATTTTGCTGTGAGATGGAAACATATATTCAGATCTCTGGTGGACCTCTGGGAGGCTCTGAGGCTGCAATTGAGGGTGATCCTCGACATTCTGGAGAGAATTTAGATTCGCTTTTTCCTGTGCCTTCCTTTAGTCTGTTAGCTTTTCAGCCCCCTGTGGGACAGTGGTGAGTTTGCAGACTCGTAGCACTGGGATCCGGGGTTCGATACCCTCAAATTTTGGGGCTCTAAGGCAGAGTTTGTAGTTAACCTGAATAGATCAATGACCCCTGCTGGGACAGGGTAAGTCAATGGATTTGCAACTCTAAAATCCAACATTGTGTTTTCCTTTCACTTCACTTTGTTGGAAGACTCTCAGGATCACCAACTTCATTGATGATGAGCTGGATCCATTGTTAGTAGGCACATTGGTTCAATTTTCAGCTTTTCCATTCCTCCCTGTTGTCATTGGAAACTCAAATTTCCTCATCTCCTACAGAGGGTCATAGTTCCACCCCTATTCCTGAATCCCGACCCTTGACATTAGCCCCTCAGTAACTTGGCACCCAGAATAGATTCTCTCTATATCCAAGAATTCCGCTGCTGGGTCAGATTGCCAGCAGTGTCAGTGATTCTTGTATACCTTCAGGGTCTGTGGGGGCTCGACTCCAAGAGTTTCTGGACATGTGGTAACCTTAACCACGGATGCAGGAGCACTGCAGGTCCTTGAGTCAGGATTAGTCATTCAGTTCACATCTTCACCACCATTATCCACCCAACTTGTAGGGTTTTAGTCTCTCGCACATTATTGGGATTTGGAACTTAGTTCTAGGGCTATCAGAGTTTGGTTGGTCTGGGGGTAGTGAGAGAGTTGTGCTAGTTCTTCTGAGGTCTTATTCCTGTCAGTTGTTGGGCCTAAGCAGACAGGAGATGGATGTCCAGTCGTCAGTCTTTCTTGTCTATATCATTGCCTAGATTCTCCAAGTTCACAAATTACTCATTCCTCAATCAGAGTTGACTTTGGTACTGGGATTGTAGGTGTCCAAGTTTGTAGTCAGCATCTATCTGCACTTTGCCATAATGGGGGAGCTCACCCACCACTATTGCCATTTGTTGTGTGTACAATGGTCATGTTCTCCAGTTCTGAGTTTTTAACTTCAGACTCGCATCGGTTTCTCATCACCTCCATTCCATTGTACTGGGCACACACCTTTCCATAGATGACTGGATTCTGCTGACGTCATGTCCTCAATTGTCAAAACATCATATCCTAATTCTACTTTCAGAAACAACCAAGGCAGGCTTCTTTTTCAGGGCTGAGACATCTATTTTTGCTCCAATTCAATATGTCATCAGTCTGGGTATTTTTTATTTTTATCTTGTCTCTCAGTCAGGCTCATCTGACTACCACCTTGCTTAATTCTATGGAATAGGATGCCACACTCTTACTCACCTCACCATCTTCCACTACACAGATGGTTCTTTCTCTTCTGGAAATCCCTCGTGCCTTTGGGATGAGAACACAACAGATCTTTTTAATGGTCTTCATGCAACCAAGAGATCATAAATCACTGATTTATTGGTTTTCCCAGTTTCCTACTTCGGGATCATTCTTCACTCTTGAGGGGTTGTTCAGTTAGGACACTTCTACAATATGTGTTCCTCTACTGCCACCTCATTCAGAGTTCCATCTCTTCACAAATTCCTTGCTTCAGGGATGGGGTGCATATACCAACAGTCAGGAATTCCAGGGTCTATGCACAGATGAAGAGGATTCCCTACACAATGTTTTAGTCCTTCTTGCTCTTCAACAAGCAAAATTGAAAATGTATTTCCAATAATGCTTACTTCCTTTCACACTCTCCTGCCCTTCCTCCTCACTAAGAGCCGGTGTTAGAAACTGGGATGGAGTCAGTCTTGAAAAGGTGATATATTATCTGAATGAGGTGCTATATACAGTACCAGGATAGAGGGCATGTTTACATGGGTGGAGAGTATCACGAGATATATTTCGCCATGGGGTATAAAAGCCTGGAGCAAGCAAGAAAAAATCAGACCAATGTTTAGATGGGCAAATGAAGAAACCTTGGCGATTGAGCAATAAGTGTGATAGGAGGTAAGTATTATTGGAAATACATTTTCAATTTAGGAAAATGTTAACCTTCTGAATGAAGTCTTCTCCATTGGCATGTTGACAAAACATGAGATTTCCATTACAGATAACCCTGAATTGAATCCTGGTCACTACCAACGTAGAAATAGTCATTATCAGGACTTCCCTGAAGACAGTAGCAGATTAGTAGCCAAAACATAAGATGAAACTAGCTAATAAATAGTATACCTATTTATATAAGAAATATATATCAGTTACTAATTAATAATTACATTTAGGTACTCATATAGGCTACTAACATTGACAATGAACAATACTCATATTTATAAATAGTAAAACTTGGTGAGGATTTACACTGATTCTCTGTATATATAGTTTTCAAAACAATTTTAGAACATTTTCAAGTATTAGTTTAATGTAGTTTTCAACCTAATGCTGATGAAATTTCTTATTTGTTTTTCAGGCACTTCGGAAGGTTGGGAAAGATAAGACTATCCTAATGCTGTGTACAACAGTGTTTCTTTCTTTCCTGCCAGAAGCTGGCCAGTTCTCATGTTTTTTTGTTTATCTCAGATTAGTAAGTATTTTTCATCTGCCAGAAACAGAGCAGTTCTAATGAGTGGTTTCATTTTAGATTAGTAAGTTATTTTTACCTATGTGAAACAGTCACTTCTTTTATTTTATATAAGATTAGCTTTCTTGCTCTAGGTTCAGCCAGTTTGAAGAAGTTTGTGACCACAAAGTGATTATCATTAGTTTCTGTACTCTTAACTTTTAATATATTTTGTGTATCTTCACATAATTTTGTAAGCTTTCAGTAAATATTGTCTTTCATACACAAATTACTTAAGTATCTTTACTAAAAATTTCTTTATGAATGCATTTTTACCTGAACAGCAGGCTAGGTCTCAGGTATATCACAGCTCTTCACACAGTTTTATTCTGCCTTAGAGGTTTGCATGCCACTAGCCTTTAGTGAACGAGATTTCTCATAAATTACAATGCTGCATAATAACATTATTATGCAGCAAAAGCCTTCCACCAGTAATAGGTTAATACATCTTCATCCGTAACAGCTCCCCTATGCATTTGCACTTGAGAATGTTCTTTTTTCCCTTGGTCCTGAACATTTCAGACATGTTTTTGTTTTTTCAGTTTATTAAGATTTGCATAGTTTATGAGTTTAAAGAACTTAATATCCATTTTCTTTCTTCACAGTGGCCTTACAACTTAATGTGATATCTACTACAACTTGTGTTAGTGAGGAATTTCCTCACAGGTTATATTTCTACTACTGAGGAGGATGTGACAGCCATTATGCATCAGGTTATGTATTCCCTTATGCAGCTAGGACCTTCAGCTTCTGTCTCTTTTTCAGGCATACTTCCCCTCATTTCAAAGGGTAGAATGAGGATGACGAACTTGATTGCTTATTTCTTCCTCCTGATTTTGCTTTAAGAACTTCAGTACCTGTTGAAAAGAAACCTCAAACTTCCTTGTATTATCAGAACTTAATATCACAGATATGTTCCCTTCTTTCTCCTGTGGCTCTTCTTGTTTCCTACCTCATAATTCTAATCCTAATGACATTTTCGTTTTTCCACCTTTCTCTAGCATTGGCATTCACACCGATACGTTTCTTGACCAACTGTGTTCATTCAACTTTTTACTTCATCCTCCTCATCTGTCTGATTCTTATATCCTGGCTTATAGTCATTCTGAATTCTCCTTTCTTGATTCACAAAATTTTGAATCTCTCTTATCTGTTTGTGGTGCAGGTTCTTTGTCATTTGTTTCACTCTCCTACACCCAATACTCCCATCTTTGCTTTATTCTTCTTACCTTACTTCATTACTTCTCCTCTCTGCACTTCATGTCCGAAGCACTCTATCGTGTCCCAGATGATCTGTCAAGTGATTCTCGTTCACTTCTCATCTCTACTCTGGCCCAATCCACTTCTTCTGCTCTATTCCTGTTCACTTGGCTCTTTGTAGGGTAGGGAAAAACTCCTCTTCCAGATTTGCCTACCTTCTTTTTCTATGGAATTTTTGCCTAGACCCCTTTCTTTGCCCTAAAGTTTTTGGGTTAATATTGATTTCATTGAATCATGGGCAAAAGTTTCCCATCATCAATCCTTGCTCTTATCTGTAATTTCCTGGTTGTCTCAATCCCCTTCACCTCTATTCTTTGTCCAAGCTTTTCTGCTTACTAACTTTCTATTCCCACTTCCAGACCTTCTTCTTCCTCTGCCCATCTGGCTTCTAGCTTCTAGTCAGCTTTAGACTCATTCGTGACTACTTGGTCAGTTCAGGTACCGTGAGAGCTGGTCTGTCAAGGTTTGCACACCTATGGTTACACTTTCCTGCTGACAAATGGATTCTTCAAGTTCTTACCCATGGGCTTTCTCTCCATTTCTCTTCCCCTCACAGTTCTCACCCAGTTTTCATTCCTCCTACATCTTTCAGATTTGTTGGACAAACAAGCCTCCTCAGGGGTTTTACTCTCATTGCTTTATGATCCCCAAAAGACCTGGACTGGCACCCAGTTATTAACCTTTTCTCCCTCAATCACTTCCTGGTTGTCCCACACTTTCATATAGAAAACTTTTTGGTTCTTACATTCCGACTGGAGATGACTGAGGTTAAAGTTTTGAATGCATTCCTGCATATATAAATTGCCACATCCTCATGAACTTTTCTTCCCTTCATCCATTTGGATTATATCTTCCAGTTTTAAGCCCTTTTGTTTGACATAGTGTAGGCTCTTTATGTTTCTAACCATATTATCAGGGCCTTTGCTCATTATCTGTATGGACTTCGATTCCATTTCTACATGGACAATTGGTATCTCCTGTACCACTCCTGGGAAGATACCTCCCTTATTCTGTGGGAAGCCACTTGTCTTGGATGGCTAATCAAATTTTCCATGACTACTGTGCCTTCATCTTGCAACAGGTGTCAATCCAATAAAGATTGATGGTAGAGTTGGGGTGAGTACACAATGTACAGTCATAACCTGCCCCAACCATGCCACACATATTGGCTCTTCAACCTCTTATGTTCAACTACTCAGACAGTCATGTTCTTATCGCACCCATCCCATGGGGCTCGTTTAGCTCTTCCTCCCTTTATCCCTGGGTGAAGAGTATCTCCTGGAAGAGATGAGATGTGGTCTCCCATGGATGTGCCCCTACAAAGCCTCTGCCATTAGGTGTTCAGTCCATGGGCTTCCTTCAGGTGCTTTCTGAAGGGAGCTCATCTAAGTGAAGCTTTGGACTGGTTCATCTAGCACTTCAACATGGAACTCTAGCAAAACTGTGATCAGAAATGTGGTATTGTTTTAGAAGTTAACATTTCCAATAGATACCTCTTCACGCACGCATTCCCAACAATTTTTGCCTTTTCTAGTGGACTTTTGTATTCTTTGCCTTATCAGAGAACAACATTCTTGAATGCGACTGCATGGGGGGAACTGTTGCAAATAGAGGTGTAATGTCCTATTCGTGAATGGCTTTTGCTGCATTATTGACAATATAATGCAGTATGATAATTCAAAAGAAATCTTGTTGAACTAGGTGAAAGTTCACTAATGTCTAGTGACATGCAAATCACTAAGGGAGATCCACGGGATAGATAGCAAAACTTTCTTCATTGGTAAATATCTATTAGAGATACATTTTCAGGTAAGGAAAATGTTAACTTTGTTTAAGACCAGTGAATATTCATACTTGCTACAACAGGCTAGTTCTCAGGATGTTTATTGTTTCTTTAAGGCCTGTGAGTATTTTTACTTGACACAACAAGCTAGTTCTCAGGTTGTTTATTGTTTGTTTAACCCTATTGCCACAGGCATCCTTTACTCTGCATGACACAAGGTTTTAGTAACTTACATTCACATTTTTATTAATCTACTTTTTATTTATGTTATACCAATTAGTATAGCATAAATTCTTAGCTAATAACCCATATTGTAATAGTATATAAGTTTTAAGTTCTTAATTTTATAAGGTAATATTGTAAAAAATCCTGAATTTCCCCTAGTGTGACACATTTTCTCTAGTTATGCCCGTTTTTCTATTTTATCTACCACCCCTCCAATAAGTATAAAATTATACTTAAATTACTCACAATAAAATCGTCATTGCTTAGAGAAACAATTTTTATAGCCTTCAATTTTGTTTGATTACAGAGCTATCAAATAGAAAATCAGACCCATTCTTGCCACACTCGCCTGTCACATAATTTTTTTCAGGATTCTGTCTTACGTTTAATTCTATATTATGTATAACCAATAGAAAGCCAAGGTTTTCATCTATCAAATGACATATTGTATAACATTGTTTTCTGAATAGAGAATTGTCAGTTTTACTGTTAGTACAAAATTCGTTCCCATGAGAAAGATAACACCTAACTTGGATGAACTTGTAATGGGTCTTGTCGCATAGTTAGAAAGCCAGAAAAATTGTGAGAGTTAGGGGGAAATGTCTACTTTTTTCACGTTATTAGTCTATGTTCTTTGTTGCATTATTTAATTAAATAAATAATATTTAGTGCATTACTACCATTAGTATAAAAAAAGTAGGGTTAAGTGTCATTGACAGTCAACAACAAGAAATAGGAAGATTTGGGTAAGTACTTTATTTCTTGTTTTTCATGTTTATTCTTTATCTATTATTATAAAAGTAACTTAAATGTATATATATGAATCTCTTTAGGTTAGTTAAGGTTAGATTAGGTAAAATAAATAATTATATAATAAAAATGTTTCACGAGGCATACACACGAGAAACTCATGGGAAACGTAATTTCATAGGTAACGTGGGTACCATGTTCCCTGAGTGATTTACAACTTATAATGGCAGAATAATAGTTAGTTATGGTTCAAAGGGCAATAACACAATAAAATAAAATTATAAATAGACATATACTATTACGAGCTGCCTTTTTTAGATCTAGAGATCATCAACCAGAACAAGAGGTTCACAACTAAGTACTATCACAAACCAACATTTTCTGGCCTGTACTTTCATTTCACCACATTTATAGCTGACTGTTACAAAACTAATTTAATAAGTATTTTAGTTCACAGAGCATATAAACTTACCAGTTCTTATGGTTATTTTCGTGATGAACTTATCAGTATTAAAAATTATTTGACTAAAAATGCCTTCCCTCATCAACAAAAGTATTTTTGAATATATCTATAAGGTTTACAACCCCAACATTCCTAGATGTATTATCACCATGGTATTACCTTTGACTGGTTCCCACAGCATCAAACTAAAAAAGTAAAATAAAAAGCATTCTGCAACCAACTTATCTCCAAGCCAGCTTAAGAGTAATCTTAAAATTGACCAAATGGATACCTAATATTTTCCTGTTCAAAGATAAAATACAAAATATTGCGGGTAGAATACAAATATTTGTTTTGTTGCTGCAGGCAAGTCTGTATTGGGTCAAACCTTAGCTACCAGAATTAAGGATAATAGCTCTTTCAATAACTCTGGAATTTACCACCACCTAAGCAAAGGCTGTCACGAAAAAACGGACAGTGAACACTTCAGAATAATAGACTCAGCGAAAGATGAATGGATGCTAATAAAAAAGGAATCATTCCTAATTCATAACATACAACCTAACCTGAACAATCAACTAACTACATCACTGCATCTCAAACTCATCGTGCCTGAGATAGACAAAAAAGTGAAAACTTCATCCTGAACCTTTGTTATTAATGATCTTTATCAAATTTGACAGTTTATTACCAGACAATAAATTAACTCTAGGTGCTGATGAGTCAAAGTATGCATATCACAAAGTTTTAGAGAATTATATTCAAAATTTAATTAATTTGCTTTATTATCAATGTATATCAATAAATTTGGCATTAAAACAGTAAGTAAATTAAATTTTAATGTTATATAAGTTTAATGTCTTAATTTCAACAGGAAATACTTAAATAAATTATCAATCCTCACTAATCAGTATCACATGACACTTGTTTGTTCCCAGAAAGAAAATGGTAGCTACAAGTAAAAAAACAGGTTGGCTCACAAAGAGTTCAAAAAATAAAATTAAAGAAAAGCATCATAAATTTAATAAATTTAAATTGACTGGTATAACAGGAGATTTAGAAGATTATAGAAGATCAAGAAAGTTGGTAAAACAGGAAATTAGGACATCAAAAAGGATGTGTGAGAAACGGTTAGCTGAAAATTTAAAATTAACAGTAAGGATTTCTTTAAATACATTAAGGGTGAACAGTAGGACCCTTGAGGGATGATAAAGGAAGGCTAGTATCTGAAGATTATGAGATGGCTGGGTTATTAAATTTTGCTTTTTCTTCAGTTTTTACTGATGAAGATTTAAGCAGTATTCCACATCTTGATCAGTTGATAAATAGAAATAAGATCAAGATGACTGCATTCATTCTTATCTCGTTAAGAAAAATTGGGCAGTTTAAAAATGATAAGGCTCCTTGGCCAGATAATATTTCCCCAAGGGTTTTGAAGGAGGTTAAAGATTGGATATTTTTGTCAGTTCTTGAATAGTGGGCAGGTACCAGAGGATTAGAAGTTAGCTTAAGT